GCAGATTGAAAATTTAGTAGATGAGATAGAAAGGAAATAGTTACAGTTGAAGTGTAGAGATCAGTGACCTATAATTATCTCAGGAAATTAGTGCAGAGAGGCAGAAGGAAAATGGGAAGAGGCTAACAGACATGGAGGATAAATTGATTTACTGTTAAGTTGTGAAAATTCTCTATATAGTCTAGATATTAGTCCTTTATTGAATATGTGGTTTGTAAACATTTTTACCCATTCTATAATTTGTCTTTTCATCCTTTTACAAGATCTTTTTCAGAACAAAAATTTTTAATTTTCATGAAGTCCAATTTATCAGTTTTTCCTTTTATGGATTGTGCTTTTGATATCAAGTGATATCAAGTCTAAGAATTCTTTGCCTAGCCCTATATTCTGAGAATTTTACATTTTTTCTACAAGATTTATATTCTTAAATTTTACGTTTAAGTCATTGGTGCATTTTGAATTAGTTTCTGTAAAAGGTATTAGACTTAGGTCTTCGTTTATTTCTTTGCCTGTGGATATCCACTTGCTCCAGTACTATTTGTTGAAAAAGCTATTTTTCCTCCATTGAATTGCTTTTGTACTTTTCTCAAAAAGCTGGACGTAATTTGTGTGGGTCAGGTTCTCTATTCTGTTCCATTTATGTGTGTTAACCTTTGGCCAATACCACACAGTCTGGATTACTTTGGCTACGTAAGTCTTGGAATCAGATAGACTGATTTATCTTTTTCCAAAATTGTTTTAGCTATTCTAGTTTCTTTGCTTTTCCATAAAAATTTTAGAATAATCTTCTCGATATATACAAAAAAATTTTGGTTAACCATATGAATTTGGGGAAAATTGACATCTTTACTATTTTGAGTCTTCCAGTACATGGAAGATAGATGTTTTTGTAGATGTTTGATTTCTTTTATCAGTGTTACATAGTTTTTAGTATATAAGTCCTATACATCTTTTGTTAGAATTATACTTATTTCATTTTATATTGAACCATTATAAATGATATTATATTTTTAATTGCAATGTCCACATGTTTGTTGCTAGTATGTAGACATACAATTGATTTTTGTATCTTTATTTTGTATCCTGTGACTTTGGTGAACTTATTTATTCTAAGGTTTTTGTTTTGTTTTTTAGTATTCCTTGGGTTTTCTACATAGTCATGTTATCTGGAAATAGGGACAGTTTATTTCTTTTCTAATATATATATATATGTGTGT